TGCAAGATGATCTCAGAATCTTGACAGATATCGATAAATCTGCATAAGATCTTGAAAGAACTGAACAGAAACTTCCGAAATCTTTCAAGTTTTTATCAAGATCTGCAGTCAAGATTTTTTACTTGGGGCATACTCGATGAACGTTGTGGATCTTAATTTTTGGCGATAATTTTGAGTAGTATGATGGATAAATTTATCGATATTTGAAAATATATTGCATAAACTCATATTATCAATCAGCTTAAAACTTGAACATTTGGTGTCATTAAAAATAAATATTTAATATGATCAAAACATTTTTCTTTAGGAAACATTAGAAGGCAAAATCGAATTCTATTACAATGTTTAAATATTGGTAGAATAGTATTCTTCTTTTTTTCTTCCTCGAAATGAAACTGTTCATAGATCTTTAATGAGTGAAGCTTTTGATTTTTTCTTTTACTCGTATGAGAACTGAACGTATGAAAAGTGTTTTTCATTTCAACATAGACGGAAGATATTTTCAGGAATAAAGTCTTAGTTTTATTTCGTTTCAGCGTTTATATTTCTCAAAAATGCTTCCATAAAACACAAACCATGACAACAATTCATAATCTATCAATTGATGTTATTATTGAAATTTTTGACTATTTAAATGATATTGATATTTTATATAGTTTTTTTAATAAAAAAAAGAAACGATTTGAACAATTAATCACGCGTTATACGAGTGAAATTAATATAACAAAATACTTATCTTCATTTAAAGTTTTTTCTTATTTTTGTTTAAGTATTCTACCATTTATTAGAAAAAAAATTACATCGCTAAGTTTAGGTAATGGAAATTCTTGTGATCAGATTCAACTTTTTATTTTGTCAAATCAGGAACTAAATTTAAAAAATAAATTTATTCAATTAAAATATTTACAATTATATTTTGATGATGAAAATGATATTTTACCATTTATTTGTTTATTTTCAAATTTATTTGAATTAAAATTGATTAAAAATATTGAAAAGAAATTACTGTTTGAATTAACATCATTAACAATATTAAACGCAGTTTTCAATGAAAATAATTTATACTTGAATAAATGTTCAATCGAAAAAATTTCAATTTCAAGTTTTGTCAATCAACATTCAGGAAAATGTTTCATAAGAAATTTAAATATTACCATAGAATGGTGTTCTATGTTATTTCAATTAATTGAGTTTATACCAGTTATTGAAATATTACAAATTAAAATAAATTTGTTTGATAAGAATAGTTGTCAACAACAACAGGAACCGTTAATATCAACAACAAACAACCAAGATGACCCAATAGCTTATTACAAATAAATTTCGAATAAAATTCCTTATTTAACGAATTTAATATTAGAAATCAAATCAATATCTTCTTCCGAGCATCTAATTCAAATTGAATTATTTGTCAGTAATTTAATATTATCGAAAAAATTATCATTTCGAATAGGTCAGTAGCACTCAGGGATGTCATTCGCCTTGCACAAATACACTAACGACTGTACATTACTTAGAATGTTACCCAGATCGACTCTCACGGCAAAGTCGCGACATGAAAAAGTCATGGCGTGAACGCGTAACGCGATCGCTATTGGACTCACGAAGAATGTCACGATTTTCGCGATCACTATAAACTCATGATGAAAAGGGATTTTTCCAATCCACTCGCGAAACTTACGGCGTGACTCTTGCTGTCGCCGCGTGAGCCCCGTGTTTTCCCCAATATTTGGACTTGAGTCCTTATTCTCACAATGTGACTCACGAAGTCGCGTCGTGAGTCCCGCGTTTTATCAAAAATTCAGCGCGACTAGTTGTTGTCGCGACATGACTCTCGCTGTCGCGACGTGACTAACCAGGGACTCACGGTTTTTCTTCAGCAAAACCTTATCACGCCTTTTACTTACTCGCACTTGTTTTTTGCTCCTGCCTCTTGAAGTGCTTGTTCGATTTGGAGTTTTCCTGTCTGAACAGAGCTTGTAGGGATTTGATTATTGGATACATTATTGGATACAATGATACGATCATTGTATCATTCGTTTTCTACTTATAAAACGAGGATAATCTTTTTAAGAGCTACATGAGCAGATTTGGCTCATCGTGATCTATAGTTTGACGTACTTATGATACTTATTACTTTTCTCAACTATTATCCACTTTTCCAATCACCTCTGAAAATTAAGGACGCTCTGACGTTGTAAAGGCGCTTTTTTGCTGTTTCGAGTATAGAATATTGAAAAAAGCTTTTCTGATTAATATTCGACCTAGTAAAACTTAATCGGGCGCATGTTTTTATAACGAAGTTTTTTTCAGATTTTTTTGCTAAACAGTAGATGTCATAGAATGAAAAGAAAGGCGTTACGATTTTGCGAATTAGAGATGTCAGGATTCCTGCATACCTTTATCTCTTTACCTCTTTATTACTTGATATTCTATCGAAGAGTTTAGTACTGAAACGTGTGCGTAAACACTGTGTTACATTCCAGACCAGTTATGTAAGTCATCATCTTGTAGAAATGGTGGAATCTGTCTTCGGCGTGATGAAATAGCAGGTTTTTCATTCGAAACGTTCACATGCATCTGTCCAGAGCAATATGATGGCAGATATTGTGAACGTTGTACTGCCAGTATTCATATAAAATTTGAAAAATTCCCCAAAGTATCTCCTATGTTGTCGCATCTTATCGGTATAAATGGAGATATCGATGAACCCACTGTACATACCATGTTTGAACGAATCAAGTTATACCAGCATGACCTGATTATTTATTACACCTTCAACAACTACTTCCCAACAATCGCCTTCTCACAATTATTTGAGAATAACCAAATTCAACAAAATAATTATTATTTGGTATCAGTGCTATCATGCGAAGATTTGATAAGACTGAACAGATCGATGTCGTTATCAGATAAATGCCCGCACATAAATGAACTTTAAACGATTGCATATCTTCGTCACGATTTTTAACCAAAGTGAAATATTATCATCGGCCATGTCAGCAGTGACAAGTTAAATGTTTTTTCGATGAACAACACATGTGTCTATGTAATCGTGACCACTATGCGGATTGTTTCCATTTTGATCATCAACTATATGGTTGTAAGACAAATGTATGCGAGAATGGTGGAACATGTATCCAAGATGATGAAACTTGCCCAACACGATCGATCTGTGTTTGTCAAGATTGTTCTTTTGGTACACTATGTCAATTCACAACAATTCACGGTTATTCACTATCGTCAGACACCATTATTGAAGCACATGTTCCACGTGACGTCAGTGTTTCACGTCAGCCATTAATAATTAAATTAAGCCTTGGAATAGTCGTGACTATGTTTATATTTGGCGTGCTAGGAAGTTTTTTATCCATCCTAACATTCAAACAACCCAGAACACGCGATTGGGATTGTGTAATTTATCTTTTGTATTCATCGACTGTATCCTTAATCACCATGTGCATTTTTTCCGCAAAATTTTTATATCTATTAACGACACAAATTAAGTCAACACCAAATCGTACCATTGTTTAGATGAACTGTATTGTAATTGAATATTTATTGAAATTTTTACCAACAACAATCGACTGGTTAAATGCATGTATGGTCGTCGAACGAGTTGTCAGTATTACATTAGGGGTCAAATTTGAGACAACAAGAAGTGTCAAATGGGCAAAGTTCGTTTCGGTTGTATTGATTTTGTTAAATATTTGTAGTGTGGTACATGATCGTATTCATCGCCATTTAGTTAATGATGAAGAAGACAAACGTATATGGTGCACAATTAGTTTCAACCAACATCCTCGGTTGAAGTTCTATAATTCAGCGTTAAATATATTTTATTTCGTTGGGAGATTCGGAATTAATGTTATATCGGTTTTTGTCATCATTATTCAGTCAGCACGTAAAAGATCAAATATTCGTATAACACAAACATAACATGAACATCTGAAAGAACAATTTAAAGAATTGAAATATTTAATTATCAGTCCAATTGCGCTCACCGTTTTCGCATTATCAACATTGATCATTTCATTTATATCTACCTGTATGAAATCAATGAGTGAATCCATATCTCTATTTGATGGGATATTTTGTGTCATTTATACCATCAACAACGTTATTTGTCATTTTTGTTTTACCATCAGACACATATAAAAAGGAATTTTTGGCTATATTCAAACATTCTTGATCAACGAATTAGAAATAAATTCTACTAACTTCACTTTATATTCAGATATGATATATCGAGTTTTCACTTTTAAACATTTTGGTTTTGCTTTCTCAACGTGATACGACAGCCACTTGTTAAGTATAGAGTTATACACTTAGCGCACTAGTCCAGCGCATGTTTTGTACATAGTTCTATTCACATGTTTTGTTTTTCCTTTTTCTTTTGAGATCGTGATATAGTTTACAGTCCATAGTCTACTTCTTTCTCTCCTTACCTATATTTGTTATCATTTTTCACTAGTATTGTATCTTAGATCGCATTCTTGATTTCTTCTTCATTGTTTTATAGTCTTCGTTTCTTTGTGTTTTTTATTACTATTTTCTAAAATATATTCATTACCAAGTGGCATCGTTCTAACAAGACAGGTGAGTACATTGCGCCTTCTCGTCTTTCCTTGGGAGCAGCAAGAGTCTAACATCAGAGTCAGTGGTCCCGGGACGAAAGGTTAGCACCACGTGCATTATTGAAGATGTTTTGCTATTCTCCTTTGACAGTGAGGTGCTGTGCAAATGGAGAGACCTACCTCAATTGATAAAGAATTTGACGCTGATTCCAACTATATTATTTAAAATTTTTTTAAACATGAGCGCATGGTCCAGAAATCCATCGGAAGATGGTGTTTTTTCATGTTTTCGAAACTTAGTTTTCTCGGTGAGTAGTGAACCACTCGAGTTGGAACTTTTAGGCTTGAAAATAGCTTTTCAACATGAAGATGAACTCAAAAGTCAAATTCAGTTAGTAGTCTGAATTCCTCCACATCTCATCTTTAACAAAATGTAAGTTTCATTCACTCAGGTCTAATCTATAAGTCTGCTGAACCTTGAAAGCAGAAACAAAGTTTTTTCGGTTTTTGCCGATTTTGTGTCGCATTTTTTATTGGAAAAGGGCTCTTTCCATGGATCGCGGTGGTTATTTTCGGATTCTATATAGTCCGGAGTAAATGAATCAATTGCAAACCCAATGCCCCGGTTATTAATATCTGAGATATGAGTTTTGAAAAATCTGGTTTTCCTGAAAATCTGTTGTCTTCAAAATTTGAGAGAAAAATTTCAAACGGGTGTCAGTTTGTAGAGAATTGAATTTTCAAAATGAGATGCTGCATAAGTTTTTCAGACTTAAAATGACCGAGTTATACATAAAACAAGACAGGCTTCGAAGAACTGTAATCGAAAATGTTTTATTGGGCATTTTTTAGTATTCTATCTCATTTTCCTTATAACTCGGTCATTTTAAGTCTGAAAAACTTATGCAGCATCTCATTATGAAAATTCAATTCTCTATTCAATTTGCGCCGATGTTTAAAAAGATTTTAAATAACATATTTGGAATCAGCGTCAGATTCTTTATCAAGTGAGGTCGGTCTCTCCATTTGCACAGCATATCACTGTAAAGTGTGGGCCGATGCCGATGGAAACACCCTTATCCAAACATATCGTTCGATACGAAAGAAAACTGCATAGATCAGGTGTATTTGAGGAAAGCTTTAAAATAACAGATAAGTTATTGATAATAGAAAATTAAAATGTGAGCCCCTGCCATATTCTGTGATATCCACAGTGATAAAAAGCAGAACTTATTCTCACATCCATTAGGGAAACACCATAATACTTGGTTTTTAAATATTTTATGGGAAAAAGAGACAAATCACAGGCAAATATTGCTATTGTTACCATTAACATAATATGTCCTTTTAGTGCATTGAATTCTGGATGAAAGGTATTTTTAGAAACCTTTTTTCTGATTGAAAATAAATTTAAAACCATTCTTTATCAGTACTGCCAAGAAAAATAGATGCATTAAAATTATCTGATCAGGTAATATTATGCAAAGAAATGTAGATAAAATCCAAAACAAAAAGTCGAAAATGATATTGATGTGGCTTGTAGAGTGATATGCAATAGACGTGGTCTAATTATTTATTTTTACTTACGCGTAATAGACTTATCAGAATAAACAATTCAATCTCCAGCATCATTTAACGACTATTTAGCTATAAAAAGCCATTAGGATAAAAGCCTCGTTTCCAATTGCATAATATATAGCTATTGATAATCAGGAAAATATTTGAAAGCATGCCACCCAATATGCGGGTCATGTCATACGAAAACTAGAGATAGGGAATTGAGAAGCTGTTACTTAATTAGACATACGCCCATAAGTGCATTTTTGTTTCTGTGATATTATGTTGAAGCTGGCTGGTAAGCTGGGTCATTTCTTATTACAACTTTCAATGGACTGAGTGATAATTATAACAATTAATACAGTGCTTCACGAAAGGAAAATATGTTGTATCAGAAGCTACAATTTTTATCAAATTTTAGTGTCTGTCTTACGGTAAAGATTTATTTTTGTAATAAAATGACATTATCAGATAAAAAGTCCAAGTTTAACGTATATTTAACTTCAGAAACACCCATTGAAAATTATCAGATGATCCAAAAACACTTTTTCACGTTTTTTGCTAATACTAAAGGTCGTTGGACTGGCCGGCCTGTATTATCGGTTTTATCTGAAGAATTCTGTACAGAGAGGGCAGAATATTACACATCTGCCACTGAAATCGGAGCTGTAAAAATCAATAACAAAATTGTTTACATAGACTACTGCTTAAAAAGCAGTGATAAAATAACACATGCCATCCACATACATGAATTGGATTGCCCTCAAGAAAATGGATTGGTTGTTGTCCACAAACCTGCTGGTATACCATGCCACCCAACTTCATGATATCATGAATATTGTGTTTTAAATACCTTGGCCTATCCAAACTTGCAGTGTTTACATCGATAGATTTAGTAATGTCCGGTGTGTTGTTGTTAGCCGCTCCTGAATGTGAAATTTCATTGGATGGAGCCAAAAAAAGATACGTAGTCAGAGTAAGTGGATTATTTCCCGATGAAATAAGTGAACAAAAAGATTTTAGTACTTCCTGGGAGAAGCAAGCTTTGTGACGAGGGTAAAGAATCATGCACTGTATTTATTTAAATTCATACAAATACTTTTTAAACGGAAAGTGGTACACAGCAAAATTGCCTGATTAGACTAGTCTAGATGTTTAGAATAAATGTATACAGGCCATTTAATGTGTCAAACATAGCGTAGAAATATATTCAGACTTGTCCAGTATATTATGCGTGACGCATCTTGTGGTTACAGGAGATATTGATTGTCATTGCATTCAAATCAACGATTGTTCGATGAATCTGAAGGCGGTAAAAAATAAATATGTGTTAGCTCTACATCTAAACAATTGATCAGCTTGGCTGTCAGTTGCCTGTTAATCTACACAAACCATGTGATAATCATTTATCTAAACAATAATATAAGAAAATCCTCATGTCCTTAAAATTATATAGTGGATTCTGGTTGAATTCTGATAGAATTGCACTTATCACAGCAAAATTGAGTAGTATTCCAGTGATAGCTTGTTAGTGTTGATTTCTGTTGGAATTCTGGAATTTCCACGGACCTGGAGAAGTTGACACTACTGGTTTATTTGCAATATAAATTTTCATGGTTTTAAAAGCAGTCCGCCTGGTGCAAACTTTTTCTGCGTTCCCCTTCAGCGGCGCTGCCCTTTAATCGACTGAATTCTGCGCCGTTGGCCGTTCGCCCTTTTTGCGCCATTGAAATGCCAGTGGTCGTTCACCATTTTTGCGCCGTTAGCAGTTTTAGCTAGGAGTTAGCTATTCGACAGAAGTGTTATTAGTTTCTTAAAATAAACTAATAACTAGCTAAAACAGTCAACGGCGCAGCAGTGGCTGAGCAATGACGGACTTTACCGTCGACCGTTGGCCATTAAAACGTTCTGGGATTCGATCGGTTAATAAAATAATTCGCATGATGTAATACATGAAAATATTCGTCAGCTTTTCTTTTTTTCGTGTGTGCCGTAAAGTGTGACATGAAGGCTACGGTTCGATAACTATTTGTCTATCATTCTACAGGCTTTGTAATCAATGCAAACTACCGGGACTCGAGAAATTGCAAACTGTTTCTAATGTATACTGTATAAGACAAAACTTATAGAAATACAGAAAGAAAAGAATACTCATGAGTCAAGTTATCGTGGCTACCCGACGCACAAAAACGAACAACAAAACGAAGCATAATAACATTGTAATTACGTCACGATACAAATTGCCTTCAAATTCGAAAGACGTAAGACTTGAGTGAAACTATGACGTAATCGAAGAATATCGTCCAAAGCGCCTAGAAGTTCACCAGATATCTTTACTGGAGCAAACTCTCACCCAGTCTTATTTTCTGTACATATTTCTTTTCAACAAATACTATCTACACACTCTGCATACCATCATTTAAGAAAGGTATAAAGATAAATAATAAAAAACCTGTTGTATTTTAACTATCACTTTTATTATTCCACTGTAACCATAAAAGAAGATGCTGATCAATGCTGTGACTTTTGCGAGGTAACCTACTGCAACATTTTTCCATCACAAACAGCTCGCCACTCTATTCGGAAATTTTCCTATGTCTTTGTTTCTTGTTTTGAAAAACTAAAACCTACGGAATATAGACAGTTTTGAGTGGCCTACAAAATGGCCAATTCACAAAAGCGTTCTGGATTTGGTTCATGATTTTCTAGAGATCTGGTTTTCCCGAAAACGCGAGATCTGGTTTTCAAGAAAACGCTCAACAAAAGCCTAAGCGCAGATCCAGGGTACATATTCAGAATCAGCGTCGTCAGCTGCATATAGTTCACCTAGTTTCACCGAAAAAGCGATTTTCAACTTGGGATGGTGGTTCCCTCGTAAGTTGAACTTTGATGAAACATTTTTTGGAAGTTTTAACTTAAGCAAACATGTTATCGAAGAAGTTAACTTCGACAAAAAAACACTATCAAAGTTATAACTTCCGCAAGAAGTATAAATTCAGCACAGCATATATATTCATATGAATACATTTTAAATATATAAGTTACCTGCGGTGACTTATTCAACAATATGTAGAAGTGGGAGAGAGGAGAGAATGAAATACGTACTATTATATGCTAAGACGCTATTAAATATTAGCATTCGTATACAGGTAAGACGAACGAAATGACGCAGCAGTTTTTACTTGTATTATTTTCCTTACTAACTATATGTAAAATCAATGGTGACAATCCATTAAAAGAATCTTTTACCAACCATAAAAGACAACTTCATGGTACTACGAATGATTCAACAACATCGGTCAATATTTATTCAAATTTTGCTGAAATTACTCGTAAGATTAGTGCCAGTGAATTACCTGTTGAATTTAGTGAAGATGAATGGCAAAATATACGTTCAGATACAATTACATTATATGGTACAAATATCAATATTACGTCACAAACATTAACAGAAAAGAAAAAGTCATTAAATGGTGAAAAAATTTATCTACGTCGTTCACATGGTGGTAAAACTCAAATTGTTGAAGTAATAATGATTGATGAAAAACAAAATCTTGTTCAAGATATGTCAACAAAACGCTATTTTAGATTATTGAATAGTGATAAAGTTGAATATACATCTTTACCACCAACACAAAAATACATTGTTTCATTTACATATAATATTAAACAAAATATTACAGATCAAGGATGGTATTTAACTTATCTTAGATCAAATTTAAATTGGAAAACACGTTATAATTTATTTTTACAAGATGAAGAACAACCACCACAATTGAATTGTCTTGCCGATATACGAAATGATGGTGAAAACACTGTTGCGATTAAATCAGCTGAATTGTTAGCCGGTGATATTAATATTCAAATTAGTAATAATGATGGTTCAAGTAATGGATCTCCAGAGGCTGGATCTGGTTCATCGAGCGGTAATACTCCTTCATCCCCGCCAGTAATTTCCATACCAAAAGAATCAGCTGGTATCTATGCGTTTTCTATTGATAAACCATTTACAATTGAAGCAAAAACAAATTATATTTTACCAATGTCTCAACCAACAGTTAAAGTTGACCAGTTTTGTTCAATTAAAAAATCATTTTATCCATCAAATAATGGTGGTAATGCTCAACGTTCATATCGTCTACGTAGTGATCAGTTCTTATCAAACGGTGATGCACTTATACGTGCATTTGGTAGTTTAGTTGGCGAAGCTTATTGGCCTGATATAGCAGCCAATGACGACTATGAATTTTCTGTTGGTGTTGATCCTGATGTTGTGTATATAGAAAATGTAGTATTACTTCCATCTAAAGTGTTGAATAATACATCAGCAAAACCACAATATTCTGGAAGTGATGTAACTACTGTTAGACAGTTATCATATGATATAAACTTAAAATTAAAAAATTTTAAAAAACGTCTAGTTAAAGTTGAATATACTCTACAATTTGATGGAAAACAATTCATGATACAAGGAAAAACTTCCTTTATACAAGTTGGGACAGAAATTCAAGGAAACTTTACGTTAAATGGAGGTGAAGAAAAAGATTATAAATTTAAAATTAACACTATAGAATAAAAGTTTTTATTTACTCATATACTTCTTTATGTCGAGAAAAACTTGTTGTCATCTTCTTCTTATTATTATTGCAATAAGAAGTTTTTATAAGCCATACTTCTATTTTATTCAATCTTTCTTTAATTGCTATTTGTTCAATTCGTATCCAAGTACTATGATTTCTTAAACAAGCGCCTTATAATAAACAGAAAAATCTAATTTTAAATATAAGATGTTCCTGCAAAGAAATACCTTTGGCTTTGCTAGCATATTCTTTCGCTAAATCATCTCAATTCTCCGACGTTTCTTCGCTGCTAATGTATTTTCATTAGATCACCAACACATTTTACTATGTTTATTTTCTTTAGCGATAAACAATATTTCTAATCTTATACTATTCTCGCATAGAAATTCGTTTTTCTTTCTAGAACACTAATATATACGCATAAAAATTAGGAATTTAGATTCTCATTCAATTTTCTTGAAGAAAATATGTTCAACCAATCAAAGTTAACCCACCGAAAAAAGAACTAATCGTTGAACATTGTCGTTGAATTTATAATATTTACTTAATACACGGGGTGTTCTTGAAGTTATTGATGGATAACGATAAGCTTTTAAACGTTGTTCAATATCAGAATATAGAATTCATTGTGATAAATAGAGACACTCCATTCAAATACATGAAATTTTAATGAACAATTGATTGCTAATTATGTCTGAGAGACAATTAGTTCAAAAATACCGCATTTTGTAGCCCGAATCTTTATCTTTCCATCGTATAGTTTTAAGTTCATTATCATTTAAACTTATTAAGCAGACTAAGACACAATCGCTGCACTCGAAATTGTCTTTTCTCGACTTTGATGCGTTGGGTAAACAAAAAATGATGGGAACAATGTCCTCCTTCCAGTGAGGATGAATTAGATAGGGACAAAGTTATTACACTATGCAATTCTAATAACTAATGCAATTCTAATAATGCAATTCTTAAAACGCAAAGCTATATTACACCGAGGATACTCACAATTGTTATAACATTAACCTTTCATGCATTTCTCATTTCTGTGCAGTGTTATTTTGAGATCTTTACGTAGAAAACATTAACTGAGTCTATACGCTAGGAAAGCCCCTATACTTGGTGTATTTCATGATAAAGAAGAACCATTTTTGATACCCAAAATGAATGAAGAAAAATTGCAACTATGCAAGCAACAGTAAATAGAAAAGATGTTATATATCCCTATTCTCTCACTCACTGCAGGTGCTGTGTACTTACCCTGTAAACTGGTTAGTACTGATTTAGTTCTACTTTAAAAAGGTTCAAAAAGCAGACATAAACTGCAAAAACTTCGAGTATAAAAGTAGTCTACTTTAAGAAATAAAGTGCCTTATATAACAGGCATCGTTTTTCGTCTTGTTTAATATGAGAAAAAAACACTGGTATCATCAATCATACACATGGCGAGAGTGTCTATATATATATACGTTTACAGGAAGCAGGTTTCTTCAAAATGTCAAGAAAAAGAATAGATTGCTCCAGGTGCATATCTACGTGATATTAACGTACATATACTCTCACCACGTGTATGATTGACGGTACGAACGTTTTTTTCTCATTTTAAATGAGACGTAAAACAGTGTCTGTTATATAAGGTGCTTTTTTAGACTAGAAGTCAGTACAAGCAGGTGAGTGAGTTGGAACTCGTTCTACAGTAGTTTGTATGCGTCCAGCGTTTGCATGGTTGTTATCTTCCTTGCTTTTCACTCTACATGTTCCCTAAGTATAACATAGTTCAGTGTTATTTAGGTGTTTTGTTGGTTTTCTTTTTTACTTATTGCCTCAATAGCCCACGTGCATAATTTCGTGGTTGGATCATAATGCAGACCATCAAAGCAAAATAGAGTTCTATGGATATACTCGAGCACCAATGATACGCCGTACAGTCATATTCATCCGGATAATAATCCTTTTCTCCCTGAGCACGACAAGTAAACGGATTGGCAGAAGGTTCTGAAGTTGAATTAAAGCCATTATATATATCAATCTCAAAACTCTCAGATTTACGATTTCTCGACAGGTACAACACTGTCAAGCAGAAAGTGTAAAGGTTAGTGCATGTGTTGATGGCAAAAAGTGATGTGTGAAAGCAACTCAGTCAAAACATGTCATAAGTAAAATATCATAAATAAAGGTCATTGCGTAAAATTCTGGAGAATATTGGGATGCTTTCTTAACTGACTATAGCTTAATGCGTTAATGTACGTGTATGTGCTGCTTCCAAAATCTAAATGTGAGAATTGATCGTGCCACTCTGTAAGTTGCCCAACTAGAACTAATTCACTATTAATAGCCAGGGATTACGATTGTTTCTTGGCCAGGACGGAAAGACCTTACGGAAAGTGATGGAGGAAACCTAGAAGGTAAAATATTTATTACGGGAAAGCAGAAGTACCAGACAAGCTACACCTCTGCATCATCGGCTCTCCTTCATCGAGATCAGTGCTTATAGCAGAAGCTCACAACGCCCTATCCATGCTGTTTACACAGAACTGTAGGAAGTCGTTGTAGCGCTGTATGTCAACAATGGAACGGAATTTATCCTACTTACTGACTGTTTTATATACAATGTTCAAGGGTTCACCTCTTCTGAGCCAGAATAAACGTTTTCTTTACCAACTTCAGTCTTTGCTGATAGCAGTTTCTGTTTTAAAAAAGCAGACAAATGTTTTACGTATCACTACCAAGAAGGTCGCGTGTACATTTTTGTCTTGACAAAATCCCTCAGGAATTGGATACGACATTTGTATCGCTATATCACATTGCTGAATTGAATGGCGAACATAATAGCAATAGTGGTAGACCAAAGAGTTGCTCGAATTGAGATAATAATACACACGATTCGTGAATTCACATTTAACATTTTGATTCTGAGCGTGGGTCATTAACACTGAAAGCGGTGCAATTGTAGGGTGTGCCGTAGAAATATCGAAGGACAATATCGTTTAGATAAGTGTAGAACAGTAACAATGTTGAAAGGGAAAAATATCGAAATATAGTAATGTTACTAGTAAACGCTGACTCGAAGCCTCTGTAGTTTATTGTTATTTTTCTCATTATTCTGTTGATTTGTATCTACAACGATTTGGATTATCAACAAACTACAACAATGGTGATGCTGTTAAACATTGATATAGACAGCTAAAAAAAATGGAAAAAACAGTGTATGGATTATTATAATCTTTTCAAGAACAATAGTCTGTGAAAGTTTCCGCTTATCTAAGTTTTTTAAAGAGCTTTTCGACGTTTTTCCATTTCGGTATTTTTTCACTTCGATATTATTCCGCTTCGATATGTCTCCTTCAACATTTTTACCTTGGATACTTTTCCTTTCGACATATCGAAAATATTTACCTAGCCTCGAATTTTTTGCGTTTCCATCAAGTAAACTTTATAAATCAAATACCTGGAGGTAGTAAATTACATGAGAAATTTTGGCGCAAAAAAGAACTTTTAAACCAATCATGTTTCATCTTAATTCTGTGGATATATTCTCAACAGTACGCTGAACTGTACGTGAATCATCGCAACTACATTGTATAGCGTTGGGATACAGTTTATGAAGAAAATTCTACTTTTTCACAATATTAAACCAGAAAAATCTTAGAGTAAGATTTTAATGCGGACTTTTTGGTTATAGAAACTTTCAAAACAATAAAATACACTTAAAACTTTAACTTTATAACACTAAACTTAATTCTTTTGATTCATCTCTTCTCTTGCAGTTGAAAATGTGGTTGAAAATATACGCTAAATTCAAAATTTAAAAACTAAACTAAAAATGATTCAAAAACTCCATTGAATATTTTGTTGAAAATATCTCTCACGTTCATAAAGAATAATGAGATAATCATAGAATGCTAGAAGACTTCTTCCATTTATCTTATAGGAGCTAACAATGGCGTGGCAGTAGAAGAAATTCAACAACGAATAAGCCGTAAATATGAATTTACTGAATGTTCGAGAGTATTTTATAATTAGTCTTTTTTAAGAACCAGCATCTGACGATCAACAATCGCTATCCTTAGCACGTGAGTAGTTTTTATTATCAAACGCCTGAAAAGGAAGTTCTCCACAGAGCTATGTTTATATTTAAGTGCTAACAGCTAATTCCAATTCGACACTTCTTAATTCCAACGAAGTCGTTAATTTCTCGTCCAGAATTACTAGTATGATCAACTAAAATTGTTTTATTTGCCTGATTAACTTGAAAAGATTATTATATACCTGCTGTTTAGATGTCTTAAAAGATGATGCAGAACGGGAATACATCATTTATCTTATGTTACTGTTCATTCGTCATCAACTGATTATACCAGGCATAGAAGAAAGTGTGTCAGCATGTAAAGAGCGAACAATTTTGATATATTACTGATGCTTATTTGTATATAATTCATTCTTAGCACAACCAATTAATTATTTGGAAGTATCAACTGCACAAGATTTACAAACAACAAATAAACAATTAAAAGTTATTGACACTAAGTTGGAACAGCCATCAGTTACTGTCTCTGAGATTCTTTGTAGTTCTGGTATATTAATTAGATTAATGGCATCAATGGGTACAATCATTTCTTTGTTTCTATTTATTTTGTAGAAGATATTCCAACAACGACTATTCAAATATCAACTCTCAATAATTCTCACAGTGAGGGTAATTTTTATCAGATTTTATCATGTTAATAATCTAATTATCTCCGTCTAATTTTAGATTCAAACGAAAGTATACTATTGGCACCGACTATCTTAGCTTCAACAATCAATTCTACATCACCAGACATTCTTCTCCAAATGCCAGAACCAGAAAGAGAAAGTGTAAATACAAACGCACCAGTACCAGGTAATAATCTAAATAGAGTATAAGATACTATTAATGTTCAATTATATACACTATGTGACATTTTAGAATCGTCGGTACAAAAAGCCGCTGATCAAGAACGAAGTGTTAATAGTAAGTAGT